TACAGAATTCAACAGTTCAAATACCAGCCAACCAGATCCTGAATTTGACATTTAAATGCGAAGAATGTATAATTCAATGCGAAATCACTCACACTATATTAATACTACAACAAAACGTTAAGTTTATCGTCTTAGCACTGTAAATGGCGAGGTAAATCGTCTCATTTTACAGTGTGTATGTAATTTGTACACACGGCATGTCTACCCCACATATATAACTTCACATGTCCGATTTAAGAATCAAGCAATGCAGCCAGAGGCAGAGCAATATGTCATCATGAAACAAGAAAGTAAAATTAATAAGAAACTTTGGTTAATTAAATCTTACTCACCTTACAAATCGATTTTGTTTCTTGACTGATTCGAAAGCTGGAAGTAAGTCTGGCATATATAGTAATATTCAGCACCGCCTGGCCACTTTGTAGATTTTGGTTCATAGCGAAATTTAAAGCTCAAAGACAAAGTCAACACTGGCACTGAACCCAACACAACGAGGCAATTTTACTAGTCTCCAACAAACACCGTTTGTTTACAGGATTTTCCATAATGAATACGTTTTTAGACGTTGTCTGGTTCTAAATATGAAAACTACAAGCTTTCGATCGCCAGTTTGCAGCTTTGAGCCTTTGACGCGATAATGACAATGAATATTCGAAAATAAATGACGTATTTTCATGCATTGATTAATAAGATCTGGGATTTCATGTACCGGGTGTCCCAAAAAAAAGTGACACTATAGAAATTATCTCATTGTTCTTCAGCCGCTCTTAAACGCGCGTGATTACACGCCTAGGAATTTAATGAACTTGTATTTACATTTAAGCATTTTAAAACGTTTTCGCTTTGTCCAAATATTTTAACGCCCGAGTCAAGCAAAATGATTACACTAATAAACGGTTTGCTTTTTTATTTTAAATTCCAGAAGCAGAAGTTTATGCACCTCTGTGGGATCAACTTAATGCTAGGGCATTCAAATTATAACAATAGGATAATTTCTATAGTGTCACTTTTTTGGGGGACACCCTGTACACGAAGGGTTTTCTTTTATTTAAATTCAAATGGCCCAACTGAGCACTTTTCTAACAAATATTTAGTGTTAATCAAAATAAATTATTTTTATCTCAGCGCAGCATTTCGGACCCACTGGTCACATGTATACATCTGTAATCCCCCATAACTGAAGTTCAACATTCTCATAAGCTTGGGGAGGGATATTGAATTCAAAACAGGGAAAAGCTGGGGTTGATGAATTATAACTTCTTAAATTACTCTTGATAGAGATGTCCCAGACTCGTAGTCAGCTAATTAATTCTCTAATTTTGATACAGATGTCTTAGTGAGCTAATTAATCATTAACTTTCACTTTAACGAGGACTTTTGGTGAAATCGTTCAATCCACCATGAAAAGTATATGTGATTATGTTACACTTTCTAAGCAATCTATGCTCCCCAGCTCTCAGACCAAAAATTTTCCCATTGTAAAAATATACAGTATGAAGTAACGAGTCAGCTGTTGTCGGACTCCTAATAGTCCCTTTTCCCAAAGTAAACTCTTCTCTTCGGCTTTGACTTTCTTGCGCATCTCTTTCTTGCATGCTATACCGCGATGCCACTTTTTGTGGCATGCTTCATCTCTGCACCTAACGCCTTACAAAATAAAGCAAACCTGCAAACAAAACCAAGAACTAGCATTCAATAGGTCCGTTCTATAGTTAGCCAGTCTACAACACCGTGGAATGTATTCAAAGTCGCCTATTGATTAATACGAAATTCAGAAATGATCGAATCCAAAGCTATTACATACCTTCGATTTCCTTCTACCAAAATACTGACGCCATTATGCTTCTTCAAATCCAGTAAATGGTGATTTATTCCACATTTCCACAAAACAAATACAAACTTTTTGGCGGGTACGTACCGTTCACCATTTTGCTTTTAAGCCCATTTCGTATTATATATGCAGTGTTTTTCGGGGTTGCGTCTGCAAGCAAACACCTTTCTTCGTCTGCAGTTTTTACCCATAGAAATAATAGACATAGAATGCGTGCTCCTATCTTTTCTCAGTAAAAAATTTGTCTCCACAAAATGGCGCATTGAAAAGGGCATTTTGGTTGGTCCCAGACTCCTGAGGCAGGGAATTTCGCGCGGTTGCACGGAGTGCGAATTATTTTTTTCAACTGAAAAGTTTGCAAAAAATTTTATATCGGGACTTAAAATGGAAAAAAAGTTTGGTAAACTAAGGAAAAGTGTCTAAAAACCCATTCCAGTGGGTTTTTTTACGAAAAGCGCAGAAATCGTCGTTTAAAAATAAATTTTCAACGTTATGTTGTTGTGCAAGCCAAAACAAAACACAAAAGATCAAGACAAACTCAATAGGTATGTTCTACAAATATTTCAACTCTTTTACAATATAAATGGAGTTCAATAATCTTTTTAAACTTACACAATTATATTTCGTATTTTTCTACGTTGCTTGAGCTTGAGGCAACGCTTTTGAAACCATGGTTTTCGACGATTATTTTTAGGCAATTTTACAGTTTATCGACAACTATATTTATAAAATGTTTCAAGAACATGAAAACACTTCGTTTACATTGCAGAAAAACGAAACCCGACGAAGAAAGAACTATCATTTTGTAATCTTATAAGATATTAGCAAAACAGTTACGTTTAGAGCATGCAAAAATGTTTTGAGTAAATTATATTTTCGCGAAACTACTTTGCTTTTAAAAGGCTGCACGAATTTCACTGTTTTCATAGTGTTTTGTAACTGCACATTTGCTTTGACAGTTTGTGCCTTCAAGGAACTCAAAATCTATCCCCAAACTACAAATTAGGCAACAAGACAAAACGTTTTGACGATGAAAACGTAGATTTAGCTTTGTTTATACTTTGTAGTTTGCACTCCTGGCCAAAATTCAAAATGGCGCATTCAAAAGGGCACGCACCTGAAAAAAGTGGAGACATGATTCGTCATTAGCACGCATTCTATGTCTATTATTTCTATGTTTTTACCGCACGAAAACGTTGGAATGCCATCGTGTTTTCTACAACCAAGCCAACTTTAAAATGCAATAAAGGCATGCGTGCAGTTATCAACGTTGCACAACTTGGAAATTCAAATTAAATCATCGGTAGAGTACCAGTGGGAACATATGACTGTTTACATACATAATTATAGTCATTTCAAAGCCATTACTCATTCACGCACAAACGTAATTATTCATTCCAGTACTATTGTCAACTGAACGTCTGATCTGTATGCCTTTAGATAAAGACCGGTTTCCATTATATCCAGGTGATCTTGATACGCGGAAAAGTACTGGCACTAGTTGTCAAATAGAAATCCATTTTATGATTAAAACAACTGAATATCTCCTATAATATACTTTATTTCGATTCCATATTTTTGTCAGAGCTATAGTTCTCATAACCAAACATAATTACAAAATTTCAACTAGTTTCATAAAGAATAATGAAAGATATAATTGACTGAATACATCAAAATGGATTTCTATTCGGACAACCCTTTCTGAGCGCTGATTGGCTAAAATACGAACACGAGATCACCTGGATTGCAGTCGCTTTGCCCGCGCGGGCGGAGCGGGCTTTGAAAATCTGCTCATGCGGGCGTGACGGGCGTCAAAAACAATGAACGTTTCGCCCGCGCGGGCAAAGCAAACGTTAATTGAAACGGCCTTAAGGGCCATTTTCCATTGCAGTCGCTTTGCCCGAGCAGGTGGAGCGACCAATTTTCATCACGTAAAAAATCAGTCCCGCGGGCACGCCAAGAAAGTTGAATGTAGTTCTACTTTCATGGCGTGTCCGCGAGCAGTCAGACGGACAAAAAATGCAAATTATAAACTAAACGTTTACGCTAAATATCAGGTTTATACCATTACGTGCATTATGCCTCCATGTATTTCCTAATTAGAATATTCGTTAAAATCGGATGGAGAACATCTTATTCAACAGATAAATAGCAGTTTGGTACAATCTCATGTCAAAGTTGGATGACCTTTTTATTTTGGAGCATATCCGTCACACCCTGTACTTTTCTTTCTAACTGTTTGAACTTCTAAATGCTAATTAAATTTTATTTTGAGTTTTCTGTTCTTTCGAGAGGCTCATTTATTCACAGCTGCATTCAAGTCAACGGAGTCAACTAAATCTTTCTCACTGGCAAAAACTGTAAGAAAACATCAAGTTGAGCGACAGACATCGTGGATCTGAAGAAATTCTTAACAATTTTCATTCTGCTGAATGCCCGTTCATCTTTGGCAACGGTTACAGGAGCAGTAAAGAGTATTCTGAATTTCTTGTATACGTTCGGGAAAATAATTTTGTTCAAATATTATATACGCTTGCTGGCATAGATCCTCGACGGTCTTACATGGGAGACAGTTAACTTCTTAACTTGTTCTTGAAATATTTCAAGCTCTGCGTGAAGACACTCTGCATTCATCGTTATTGACGGCGGGAAAAGACCTGATATTTCATTCATTTTCTGTACATGCATTTGGATTCTGCAACGACGGACGAAGTGAATCAGCCAAAGGTTTAATCTTCTCAAGGGACTGTTTCAGGTTGTATTCAGTAATAAGATAATCTAGCACTTCTATAACTGCCTTGCGGTATTCTGAATTTCTTCAGAAAAGACTTTGTGGCATCTTCCTCGGCCTGTGGTGGCGACTAAATTCTTCTTCTGGTTCTGTTCCATAGCGGTTGGAAAATTGGACGCTGGCTTCAATCTGGCGATCGATCTGACTCATTTTCTCGGCTAATTTTTCTTAGGGAATGGATGGTCTCTTCTATCACTTCATGTTTTCTATCGCGCAGTCAGTACTTTAGGTTGTATTTTTCTCATATCTCCAGAAATTCGCCCGACGAGTTCCTATAATTTGAGATTGGAGGGGTGTATCACCCCGCCCCCCCCATACCTACCACCCCCCCGGGAGTTTCGGCCCTGTTCAAGAATGAAACATTAATAACTAATTCTATCATAATATATCGTGCATATGTAATTCTATATCACAGCTTAGTGGAATTGTGACTTCCATTACTACAAAGTACATATATATATATATATATATATATATATATATATATATATATATATATATATATATATATATATATATATATATATATATATATATATATATCGTGTGACAGTATAATTTTGATCTCGTTACTTACAGTTATTTAATAAAAGAAAATCATGGCCGCGTGAAAGAACTTGCGAGCCTGCACGAAAATGAACTTCAATTGATCTTTCTCATCTTCTAAGTGTCTAGCAAATTAATTTTCATTTTCGATACCCACTAATAATTAGCTGTGTAAGAATGTGGAAGACAATGATCGTATATCTTCGTGTGCCATATACAAAACGAATTTTCAAGTGAATATATTGAATTTAAATATAAGGAACAACAGCAACGAGAAATTTTGCTTAAAAGCAACAAAAACAATGCTTAAAAGGGCGAGAACGAATTAGGTAATAATTAAGCGTGTGTTTTTTCATATATTATATATCTCAAATTTAAATTGTCCAATAAAAAAACAGCATTTGTACCACGTGACAATGTGATTTACTGTATTGCACTCAAATTCATGGTTTTGCAATGCAGCGTGAGATACTATAATATCCCATGGTTCTACCGTGCTTAACTCTTGTGATTTGGAAAATTCGCTAGTGCCTGTTGTTTATCCAAATTCTAAAAACAGAAATCATGCTATTAGTTATACCATATTGCTACATTAATTATGTTAGGTGATTATTGAGAATGATTGCAAGAACAATTTCAAGATGGGTATATGGGTTGAGTTTCAGCCAGATTTACGAAGCCGAAATTTCAGGATGGCCTAACGATCATTGACATTGTTCCTTCTTTTTCAAATTCATGCTTTAGCTATATATAAGTGCTTTGTGTTGAGCTGATTACAAAGAGACATTTCAGTCCCGCTTGTGTTTCAGTTTCAGGCAGGCTTAACGATCATTGCTGATTTTCATCGCTCTCGCGAGACCTTTCTACTACTCATACTAATTATATTATGTGCTAATTGTCTATATCCATATTTTCCAAATCACAGTCTGGAAACAATTTTTTAACAACATTCGGTTCAATATATCGTTCTTTCATATCTTTACAAATTGCATTAAATTGGACGCCAAACTCCATCAAGGACCATTTTTCTTCCCCAGTGTTTAGTATATATCCTTGGGTGTGCATCGCGACAATGTTTCCATTCAGGTTAAAAACAGGGGAACCACTAGCACCAGAAAATAGGCTTGTATCGTATGGAAGACATCCTTGTTCTTGAAATTTGTGGGACTGAGAACGTAGCAAATCGTTGTTGGTCAAGTGCACTCCAGTAGAATTTTCGTCATTATTCATTTGGCTATGCTTGAAGTCTTTCCTGTCCTGGAGTTTCTGACGCCACGAGTGATTGCGTACAACAACACATGTTTCTTGGTGCATTTCCTTTCCTGCTGGATGACCAACGATAATAACGAGACCTTCTTGTAATGGACAACTTCGAACTAATGGGCCAAGCGGTTCACGGCCCCTAAGACCTTCATCTTCTTTTAACCGTAAAACTTTATAATCAAACCGAAAACTTTCAAGCTGGGGATCTCGTTCTTCGTTAACTTCTACTTGTTGTCCTTGTCCAGGGTGAAGATAATCAAATTTAACTGTGATGGGCAAGTTAAGATCTGGATGATCTCTTCTTTCTTTGTTGAACGACATATAAACGTGACAATTTGTTATCACTAGCATGTCTGCCACAAGCCAACATGTTCCTTGTATTTGCCCACATGAAATTTGACCAATCGATTTCATGTTCTTACCAAGAGTTTTGAACAATCTTGCAGGAATTCCAGTTGCAGTATTTTTCCATACGTCTTCTGTTGCAAAGTTTAAAATTTGTTGGTCGTCACTTACAAATTTTCCGTCATTTCCACTATGTCTATCTTCATTAGGACTCAAGAGATTTTTGTAAGCTGACGATTTAACATTTGCGGTCATCGATTTACGAATTTTCTCGTTCAAAGGCTCCTTACTCGAGGCAGAAATAGTATATACATTAGAAGCAGAAAATTCTTCGATGCATTTTTCCAAGCAAAGCAAGTCTTCTTTTGGTAACTTTTTTGTACTGGTCCGGTTGCAGGTTTCTTCAGCTGATTTTAACAATTCTGCTGAAACATATTTTAAATAAAACTTAACATCTTCAGAACTTAAGTTTTCATTTCGATCTGTATATAACAGTTCAATTAAATTGATATGTGTAATTGTGATATCTTATAAAATTCTTACAAATCTGGCAGATGGTTTTATGTTATTAAAGAAAACGATATCTTTAGCAATACAGTTGACAGAAATCATGCTCTGAATCGTGTTTAATCAAGCTATTTATAATTCTCTTTAACTACCGACTCATAGTACAATACTTTTACCAAACAAAGAATGGAGTTATATAACAGTAATGTTACAAGAATAATAGAAAACAAGTAGCAGATGAGATGACAACGTAAATGGCTATTTTAAGAGCGAAAGTAGCCAACCATATGAAATGTGTTAACTCGTTTGGCACAAGATGGGAATTTTGTACAATCAAACAGTTTTAGTCTGAATCTTTCGTTACAATATTTTTAGTGATAGAATTTATGAATTGTACAACGATAATAAAAATAATGTAAGAACTTTTTTATTACATTTACCTGGTACTTGCGATGATGATGGTTTCTGGTCTGTACAATTCTTCTGTTCCTGCGGAATTTTGGCCTCGTCTCCATCTAAACATGTATAATATATAAAACCTTAAACTGTAATATAAATATCTCAGTCCATGAAAAAATTAGACAACCATATCATGTACAAGTTCTTTGAATGTTTGCATGGCGAAAAATATAATTGTTTTTGTTTGTGGAAACACCACGTAAATTTATTACTGCAAAGCTTTCGATCCGTAAGCCCGGATCTTCATCAGTGCTAATAATATGTGACTTGTTTAATTCACACGCTCTTTTTATATACAAGAGTGTCGTGATCTGTTGGCTCGCGTCATTTGAAATTTAATTAAACGGCACATCAACCACGTCATTTCAAACGTAGTGAAGTGATTCCAATTAACGCGCGCGCATCCAAGACAAGAGAAATTAATTTTGCACATTAAAGAGAGCACGCCACGTACTATCGAGTGGCTTTCCCTCCTGATCTATAGTATTGTGCTTCTCGATTTCAATTGACTCTCTCATTTTGCGAGAGAACTTATGACTATCAATCGCCAAAATGGTTGCTTCGTCCCATTTTATACGATGGTCGTAAGTCCAAGTATGTTTAGCCACAGCAGATTTATCTTGCTCGGCTTTCTCGCAATTCGTCTTGTATCCTTAAGATGTACTGAGAGATTTCGACCAGTTTCACCAATGTAAACCAGACCACATTCACAAGGAATGCGGTACACACCAGGTTTCTGAGATTCATTTACGTTGTCCTTATGTGTGCAAAGAGCTCGAAACAATTTGTTTTCGCTGGAATGGTATACCTTTATACCTGCTTCATTCCTCAAAATTTTTTCGATTTTGTGTGAAGCCGGACCAATGTATGGCAGACTAACAGACGACTGATATTCAATCTTCTGCTGTATACCTTGTGGCGTTTTCATAGCATTATCTATGAAATGCCGTGGGTAACCATTCATTTTTAGAACATTTCTTAAATGTTCTAATTCATCGTCAATGTTACTTACCTCGCAAATTGTTTTCGCTCGGTTGATGAGTGTCTTGCACACAGAGTTTTTAATACTAGGATGATGAAATGAATTATAATGCAGATACCTGTCTGTATGTGTTGGTTTCCTATAAACCTTATGTCCTAGCGACCCATCATCATGTATAGTGAAAAGAACATCTAAGAACGGTATAGTTTTATTGCATCCTTCTGTACTTCAAAAGTAAACTTGATCGATGGATGCAAACTATTAATGTGGTCTAGAAACTTTTGTAAATTATCTAGTCCATGAGACCAGCTACTCAATGTATCATCCACGTATCGGAACCAGAAAGCTGGTTTCAACTTTGCAGTAGCTAAGGCCTTCCTTTCAAATTCCTCCATGAACAAATTAGCCATAACAGGCGACAATGGACTTCCCATTGAAGCGCCGTTTGTTTGTTCATAGAATTTCTCCCGCCATTGAAAACATGTCGTGGTCAAACATAGTTTCAACAACTCATGAACATTCTCAGGAGAAAGATTAGTTCTTTGAGATAATGTAATATCTGAAAGAAGTCTTTCTTTCGCGATATTACAAGCCTCTTCAACTGGAACATTAGTGAACAAGCTAACTACGTCAAAACTTACCAGAATGTCATTCTCACCCAATCCAATTTGTTCCATTTTTGTTACAAATTCTTTAGAATTTACTACATGATGATCTGTTTTTCCAACAACTGCTTTCAATATCTCAGCGAGATATTTAGCCAGGGCATACGTTGGCGAACCTATGGACGCTACAATAGGTCTTAGTGGGACATTAGGTTTATGTATCTTAGGTAAACCATAAAATTTTGGACAAACAGTAGCTGAAGGTCTCAAACAATTATGAATTGTTTGAGACAAAATACCTGCCTTTTTAAAACCAGATAGTTTGGAACATATTTTACGTTCAATGTTAGCTGTAGGGTCTCTTTTAAGCTCTTTATAAGTTGAAGTGTTTAACAGAGCCAGGATTTTATTATCATGTTCTAGACGATCTAAAATAACCGTAGCGTTACCCTTATCAGCCTTTAAAATATGTATTGACTTATCTGCTCTTAAGTTTTTCAATGCATCCTTCTTATTCTTGGTTAAATTCGAAGCTGGAAGCGTTGCACGTCGTAGAACCTCAGTGATTTGGACGCGGATGTTACTAGCTTCATTGTTCGTCATGTGGTATAACTTCGGTTCCAAACGTTGTACAAATTCTTCTTTAGGAAGAACACGGGGTACCACAGCGAAATTTAATCCAAGAGCCAAGACATTTTCTTCAACCGGCGTAAGCCTTCTAGCACTCATATTGATAACGGTGCGTTGTAGTGGATGACTGGCCAAATCTTCTTGTCTGCGATGCGTCCGACCAAAGGACGTCAATTTTGTGAATTTGGCAATCTGAGTGGAACGTGCTTTGTTGAAAGTTTTCGTAGAAGAC